GTACCAACCTGCAGTCTCCAGGGATCTCCAGGATCCCACTGCCAATGGGATCACCCCAAAACGACCCCTGTCCCCACCACGGAGGGAGAGAGCACCTCCCTCCCAATCTGCTAAACCTCACTCAATTTTAGGCCTTTCTATGACATGTTAATTGTAGGACAAATCTAATTAAGGGCCGAGAGGAGGGGAAAGACACCAAATTTCTCCATTGCTCCCTTTGGAAAGGGGGAGCCCCACAAGTGAGAGGACAGGGCTTGGTGGAGATGGAGGCAATTCCTGGCATTTCCAGCATGGATCCCACAGTGGCCTCTGTAACTCCCACTGCTCCCCTGCCTTCCCACCCCCTGCCGGCACAAAAAGTTGAGTTAATAACAAAAAAAAAACCTCAAGAGAGGCAGTGCCTGGTCCCAGCCCAGCAGTACCAACCATCCCTGGTGGGGATTCGGCTGCCCCACAGCCACACTCCTCCCAGCCCACAAGGAGTCAGCACTATTCCTCCAGGAGCTGTGGGTGAGGACAGAGAGGTGTTTGCTACAGGAGATGAGGTCTAGGTGGGGATGGAGAGCAGGCAAGAAGCATGGGAAGCACTAGAGGGAAAGACAGAGACGGGAGAAGAGGGACCACCAAGAGGGACGTCGTGCCACTGAGCTGGCACATCCTCTGCCACCCTGTCCAGGCCAGCCTGACTGCTCCCAGCGCCTGGCCAGCTGGAGAAACCCAAGTCAGCATCATCCTTTCCACAGGATGCTCTACAAGGAGGGAAACGGGCCTCCAGAGAACAGGCTGGACTGCAGATGGGCTGACCTGTGGCTCTCTGGAGGGACAGTTCTCTCCCATCAACCACAAAAAGCACAGAAAGTCCCACTTCAAGTGAGAGAAGGGACTGCAAACCACCAGGACAAACCCACCACACCTGGGACCTGTGCTGAACTGTCCAGCACCACCTCCATTCGATCCATCTGGGATAATTCCCAACACAGCCCTTCCGGGCTGGGGAAGCAGCGCCAGGGCTCGCAGCTAATTGCACAATTACATTCATTATCCACGTTAGGCAGGATAAACAGCCACCATGCTCCAAACCTCTTCCCCCTCTCTCCTCCACAGCAGCAGCTGCCAGAGGAGCCTCCAGAGGAGGCTGTCCCGAGCCTGCAGATCCATCCCTGGCCTGGCAGGACCACGCTCAGGCTCGTCCACCAGGTGAAGACGCCGTGCGCTCTTCTGCAGAGCAGAAACACCGTGAGGGCGGAAGGGTTTTTTATTTTTTCCCTTCGCAACCAGATGCGACCTCACATTTTAACTCACAGAGGAGGAGGTGGCGGCACCCACACGAGCCCGTGACTCCCTCAGCGCGGGATTCGGGAGGCAGGCGAGGAGAGCCCCGCGACGATGGCGCGGAAGCTGGCAAGAGCACAGAACCATCAAGCCGTGCGAAGACAGGGCGAGCATCACACAACTGCCTGCCTCGGCCGGGGAGCCCGGCACGGCGGTGGCGGCTCGGGGGCTGCAGCCGCCCCTCCACTGCCGGCGCCCACATGCCAGGCCTGCTCTGAGATGTGCTGGCCATCTGCTCCTGCCAGCCGGGGCTGGGGCCGGGGCTCTGCGCCGTGGCTGGGGACGTGCCAAGCCGTCCCGCCGTCGCCACGCTCCCCAGCTGCGCCCCCCGTCATGACCACACCGCTGTCAGCGCTGCCGGCCCCCAGAACCTGCAGTGGGGATCTTCTCGTGCCTCCAGGTTGCCCCTACATCCTTGGCTCTGCTCGGCCCGTGCAAACTTACTGTGAAACGCCACTAAGCGAGAGGGGGCTCGACGATTCCCATCCTCATGCAGAATTTAAGGCTCCAGAGCAGCCCCTACTCTTCCCCATCGCTTCCAGCACTCCTCCCTGTTTATGGCCAGGTTTGGTGTTGCTCCCCCAAATCTGCCACCACAAAAGCCCATCCCCCTGACCACCACCACCACAGGGGCCCCACAGCCGGGGCATGTCCCCAGGGCCGCTCTGCAGTCGGGGAGCCGGCCAGGGCGAAGACTGAACCTTGTCATAGTTGAGACTTATCAGGTTTGGACAAGCGCCGGGGACCGCCGCGGGATTCGGGATGTTCTGTAACGAACGTCCTCTGCTCCAAATAGACGCCGTCCCAGGGGCACAGGCTTGAGCCGTCCCTCTCCAGGAGCCCTCCCTGTCAGCGCTGGGGAAACTGCTCCAAGAGTGACCCCCAACTCCCCAAGTTCCCAGGCAGCATCACTATCCGAACCGCCCGTGGGCCCTGAGCCGTGGCACCCCCCCAAGAGATGCCGAGACCTGACCTGGCACCCTTGGCCTTTAATCCATGCCTTTCCAAGTCCTCTCCCAAGTTCTTCCTCTTTGTGAAAGACAAAGAAATGTGAAACATGTGTTTTAACAAATTATTCCTCGATTTCTAGAGCCCAGCGAGTCAGACGCTCGCTTAAATCCGCCCGTAACACTTTCCATGGGTGTATTTATAACCGAAGGCATAGCTGCCGTCTCGCGCTCCCTCATTAACCCTCTGCGGCCTCGTGACAAACAGAGCTCAAACAGAAAAATCCTGCACCTACTCGTCCCTGGGAAAACACCCCAACGCTCACCATCTGGAAGAGAAACCCCTTCCTTCAGTTTTTTAAAAAAAAAACCAACAAAACAACAAAAAAAAAACCCCACCAAAACCAAACACAACCGCAGAACACAGCGGCAGGCTGGATCCCTATCACTTCCCTGACACCCCCAGCATTCCACACGCAGCCCTCCCACCCGGAGAGGCCTCCGGAGCCCGGCTACGCCGCTGCCACCGCGAGGATCGGCCGCTCTCCACCGCAAGGAGTGTCAGTCACTTGTGATAATTAACCAGCTCGAGATAATGAGCTCAGTCTGAGGGCAGCGGCTCTTCCTCCGCGCGTCGCGCTCTCGAATCCCTGCTATCGGCACTGGCACCGCGGCCAAGGCGGGCACAGTGCTCCTGCACCCAGGGAAATGCTCAGTTCAAAAGCAGGATGGGTATTTGGGGAAAAAGAAGAAGGATTTGGGGTAAATAAAGAGTATTATATAAAGCTCGGCAGAGCGCAAAGGGAGCAGTTCTTTGGGACTCTGCTCTGCATCCTCGCCATCAGCAGGTAAGGAGTCGCACCACCGGCACAGCAGAGTGCTGCAGGGAGGATGAAAGGAGAGGGGACACAAACCAGCACCCACGTGCTGAAAGAATATTAAATGCAAGGGGACAATGACACGATGGCAAGAGGCAGGCAGGGGCAGGAGGGGAAGAGGCCAGCAGTGAGTTGGGGTTAAAACCATCACACCTCGGGAAACCGCCCGTCGCAGAGCCTGAGCTTCCCGGCTCGGGAAAAAGTCACCAGCCCAAACGCAACCGGGAAATAAACCAGGAGAAATGGTGCCATCACTGGACCCCAGGAAAAATTTGTGACATTTTTTTTTCCCTGCAATCATCCTCATCCATCCCAACAGTGAGATAGATGGGCACAGCAAGAAGCCAACCGCGGCACCGATTTCTTTCGCGGCCAACAGACATCACAGGAGGGTTTCAGGTTGGAGCCACTTCAAGAGCTCGCAAGCTGCAGTCAAGAGTAAAATCCACATGTGCTGCAAGCTGGAAAGGCATTTCTGGGTGACAATCACCCCAATTTCCCCTTGATGGTCCAAACAAAAATACCGATAAAGCAGAAAATGAGAATTAAGTCGTGTTGGAAATGTATGGGAACCAGTAGCCAAATTTCTACAGACAAACAAGCAGAGCACCCAACCTCAACAAATTTTTTGCCTCCAAAAACCCACCCCGTGGCGCAGCTCTCTCCTTTCCACTCTCACGGCAGCTAATTCTTCCGCTCTTTCGTAAACATTTGAAAACAAGGTCACGCGCACAAATTCTGCTTTCAATTTGCCTTGTATCCATAGTGATTAAACTCAGACCCACAATACGGGATTTAAAGGAGGGGAATAAAACCCCAAAAACCCAAAAAAACCCCAAACCCCAACTTTAAAAAGGCCTGGAGCTGGGCTAGACCCCGGCACGCTCGCCAGCGCGCCGGAGGCCAGGGACGAGAGCATCGACGATTGCGGTTTTCTGCTGTAAAAAAAGGGATTTAAATTGCAGGGCTTCGACAGCCGTGCTATCGCCATAGCGAGGGATCCGGCCCCCCACCTACACCCTCCTCAAGAAACAACCAGCCCAGAGGCAACAAAAAATTTAACAGCTCCGAAACTCGGCCAGGCAGCGGGGTCCGGAAAGGACAGCAAGAGCAGGATGAGCAGGAAAAAACGAAAGCAGCTGCAGGGGAGGAAAGACTCAGCAGCCTTCTCCGCATTCCCACTGGAATGGTTTTTCTTTTAAAAAAGAAAAGGAATTTTCTCACTGTCTTTCCCCCCAGCCTCACATTTCCAAAGGGGAAAGCGTCAGGGCTGGGAGCTTTAACACCCAAATTTCTTCACCATCACACACCCGGATGCAGGAAAAGCCTCAGCGTGACAGACAACACTGAATTCAGCAGGGCCTTCCCTGGCTCCTGCTGAGTGCCTCAGTTTCCCCACCAACCAGGGGGGAGAGCAATAGCATTTCCCTGCATTTCCAATATCCATATCCCTGGATATTGGGATAATAGCCTCGTCCAGGGCCAGGTCAGGGAGGATGTAACTTTCCTCCTGCAGATGTTCCGTAGGAAAATAAAGCCAGGGGAAAAACGCTCGGCTCCGTCCCTGCGCAGACCTGGGGTTACCGTGGGTCTCCCAACAAAGCACCCCCAATCCCCAGGGCACAACCTGAGCACAACGAAACACCTCTAAAAAACGGGGAGAACCGGGGCCGCAAGGAGACCGCGGGGCAGAAGCAGAAGGAAGGGCTGACACCTCCCGGGACACGCAGGGCAAGCGGGGAGCGGCAGCGGGACACCAGTCCCCGCACAAGCTTTTGCTGGGCACTCTGTGGGCGGTGAGAACAGAGCGAGGGGGACTCCCCGAGGGGCAAGCGACACTTACTTCTCATAGTCCAGCTTGCAGTAGAGCTTCTTGTCGCGGTAGAAGCAGGTGGTCTGCAGGGGCTCCTTGCAGGACGCGCACTGGACGCACTGCTCATGCCACAGGCTGTCGTTCAGGCGCAGCAAGAACCGGTCCAAAATCACTCGCTGACACCCTTCGCACACCGATTTGGGGGTCGCGGCTCTGCCTGCGGGGAAGGAGCCGGGGGCTGGGGTGGGCGGAGGGAAAGGCGGCCGGGGAGAGGAGCCGGGCGAGGGGCGCACGGAGGGTCCCGCGGGTCTCGCTTCCCCCGCACGGGCTCGTGGGTCGCGGGGGGACGGGGGTGAGCGGGGAGCTGCTGCGGGATCCAGGAGGGACCCGTGCCTTAGGGCAGCTCCGGGGGGGGCAGATCGCCCCCAATTTCGTTCCTCTTGGAAAGGCGGCAACGGAGCCGCAGCTCAGAGAAGAGGGCGACCGGTCGAAAGCGGTGTTAAAACGAAGATAAAAAGAAAAA